GCTGCGCTCCAGTCTGGGCGACGGAGTGAGACTCCCACTCAAATTTAAAAGAAAATAAAAGTAAGGCTGGGCCAGGCGCGGTGGCTTAAGCCTGTCATTCCAGCACTTTGGGAGGCAAAGGCAAGCGGACTGCCTGAGCCCAAGGGTTCGAGACCTGCCTGGACAACTTGGCAAGACCTCATCTCTACCATCAAAACATTAGCCAGGTGTGCAGTGCGTGCCTGCGGTTCCAGCTATCGGGAGACTGAGATGGAAGGATCACTGGAGCCCAGCAGGCTGAGGCTGGGGTGGCCGTGAGCGTGCCACTGCACCCCAGCTTGGGCGACAGAGTGACCCTCCAACTCAAATAAACAAAGAAATAAATAAAAGTAAAGGCTGCATACTGCCTCCCATCAGGTCTTGGCTACAGATGCAGCCACGCCTCGAAACCCAGCACCAAAGTAACCGAATGAACTCCCCTTCCTCAACACTGACCAGAGAATTTTCTGTGTCCTCATCATCATCTTCCTCTTTGCCGTCTTCAACTTCCTCCGTGACTTCAGCCTTTGCCTCTGCAATCAGCTCTCGGATGGGTTTGTTGCAATCAACAGTCACAAAGGGATGCTATTGGCCAGTAAAAAGAGCACACACAGTAGCCGCTGAAAAGTGTGCTTGCAAACTCAGCTCCAAACACACATTTTCAGGTGGTAAAGATATAAACACACGGGCAGAAAAACGACAAACAGCTTCAGATAACGTTACATCTGGGAAGCGAAGGAGAGTTGAGAAATCAACTACCTGCAACCACATCTGTACTTTTTTTTAAGAATCAGAAGCAAATGATAAGAACGGTTATATCTGGATAGTAGGTACATGTGTTTCTGTATGTTTGAAAATTTTGTAATTGAAAATTTAAAGCAAGCTTCCAGCCAGTGCATTATTAGTTCTTAAAAAGTAACACTCTCACTGGGTGTCACTCATGCCTATAATCCCAGCACTCTGGGAGGTCAAGGCCAGAGGACAGCTTGAGGCTGGGTTCAAGGCTACTGTGAGCCATGACTCTGCCACTGCGCTCTAGCCTGAGCAACACAGTGAGACACCATCTCTACAAAAAATAAAAAATTAGCCAGATGCGGTGGTGTGTTCCTGCAGTCCTAGCTACTCGGGAGGCCAAAGCAGGAGAGTTGCTTGAGAACAGAGTTCAAGGCTCCAGCAGGCTATGATTGTGCCACTGTACTCCTGCCTGGGCAACAGAGACCCAGCTCAAAAAAAAAAAAAAAAAAAGGTAACAATCCTTATAAATCAGGAAACCCAAGTGGGAAGCACACTGAATGACTCTGAAATCATATTCTTCTTACAGATTACATTATTAGCTGCAATTACAGGATTACGTTATTTGCTGTTGCCACACTAATCTTATCTTACCTGCAGTAGCTGAGATGTATTCCACCTGGCATCCACATTTTTTTCTAAACATTTCTTTAGAAAGTCCTTAAAATTTGAAGACCTTTAAAATAAGACGTTAACGATGACATTTTATTTTACTTTCTTATTAATCAAATCAAACAAGACGATAAACTATGCTTAAGTTTCATTATGTATGTAATGGTATTAATTCAACATAAGAAAACTAGTTAATGAGACTATAAAGATTTTATAGGCCGGGCATGGTGGCTCACATCTATAACCCCAGCACTTTGGGAGGCTGAGGTGGGAGAATCACTTAAGGTCAGTAGTTCAAGACCAGCCTAGGCAACATAGCAAGACCCTGTCCCTACATTTTTTTTTTTTTGAGTTGGAGTCTCACTCTGTCGCCCAGACTGGAGTGCAGTGGCCACTCCCGGCCACCGCAGGCTCGACCTGCTGGGCTCCAGCGATCCTTCTGCCTCAGCCTTCCAAGTAGCCGGAATTACAGGCATGTGCTACCACGCCCGGCTGATTTTTGGATTTTTATTGTAGAGATGAGGTCTCGCTGCCCAGGCGGGTCTTGAACCCGCGGGCTCAGGCAATTCACTCACCTCAGCCTCCCAAAGGCGCGGGATTACAGGCTGAGCCACCGAGCCCGGCTTGTCCCTACTTTTTAAAAAACAAAAAGATTTTATGAAATGTATTCATCTGTAAATACACATTAGACACATATGTAAACAGATACACAGTTAGCCACTGAGATACAGCCATATATCCACAAGTAGGCCAAAATCACAAAAAATCTTCTAATAAATTCTACAAATAGAGATCAATCACATATATGCCTCATTTTTTCTTTTTCAAGCAGAACTTATTCATATTTTCAGATATATGGGAAAAGCTAGTTACAAGAGTTATGGCTCTTAAAAAATATACATCAAAATCAGTGTTCTGGTTCATACAGTCTTTGTCGCTTGTACCCAAATTAAAGTACCCTTGGAAAACTGCAAGAATAAGACACCAAGTTTCGCTCAGCAATTTTTTTCTAGAACACGCTACCATTTCGATGGTTGTGCCAACGTAGGGGGCTCGGATTTTGCGATTTTCAGCAGCACTCGCATGGGATTTAATTCGTGATGAGGTGGCTCTATCTCAGCCATTTCTATCAGCGTGATGCCCAGGGACCAAACATCAGCTTTGTAGTCGTAGGGCCTGTCCTTGGAAGTTTCACACATGACCACTTCTGGTGCCATCCTATGAAGACAGACGACAAGAGCTAAGATGCTTAACTTAAGGACAGTGGCTGTTAACCACACAGACGGCACAGTCAGGCATGTGGACAAAATTCATGGGAAGTAGCAGCTGCTGACACGACGCATACTGCCGATTCATAAAAACGAGCACGTACCAGTATGGTGTGCCAATGAAGGAATCTCGTCTCTGAATTGTCCTCGTGTTTTTAGCTGATACTCCAAAATCCGCTTGAAATAAAGAACCACAGAAAAGCATCAGCTACGGCTCTCAAGCAAGCTTTGTTGCATTCAACAGGGAGAAATAGCATTTCAAGCACTTAACAGGGCCAATCTTATCAAAGGGAAGCAAAGCATTGAGAAATAACATCTCTGCCATATGAATCTCGACCCCTCTTCTCCCACCCCCCCAAAAAACTGCCAAAGAAAAGATCCACCGTCACATAATGCCACCATCTTTATAGACCTTCAGACGACAAGGTCTTCAGAACTGAAAACAAAAAGTAGTAACTTTAAAATAAACCAGTCTATCCACTTCAAAACAAATGCCAACTATTGCTACCTGCTCCAATTGAATTAACACATACATTTTCTAAAGTGTGAACAAAAGAAATGACACCAAAACAGCCTTTAGACAGCATATATCTTGCTAACTTACTCAAAATTATATTACAAAGAAAAAGTTGGGAATCTTATATTTTCTGATTTCAGCAACAGAGAACAGCAACATTATAGCTTTATCAGTGTTGACCCAACCTTTCCAGCTTGGAGCTCAGACCACCCTTAACACAACATAAAGTTGCCAGTGCTGCATGATTCACCTCATGCCATGCATACGTTTTTCAAGTCTCAAATTTGATGCCACAATTCTCAAAACTGAATAAATATTAAAATCCAGTGTGGTTGCTCACACCTGGCACAGAGTAGTCACTCGATAAATGGTAGCTACTATTAGCCATACTCATAATTTCAAGCACTGGGACATTTTGTCGTAGAACTCTTAAAACTCGTGGAATTCTGCCTTAATTACTTGTGTCTATTACATGGGGACGGCACAGTTCTGCCTATCGTGCTGCAGAAATGGAACGTTCTCTGTAAGTATTTGCAAATTAATAAAACAGAAATTACAAATGTTCTAAATGTCAACTCAGTATTATTTTAGAGCCCCTAAATCTTTAATGTGTTTCTTTTTTTTTATTTTTTATTTATTTATTTTTTTGAGTTGGAGTCTCACTCTGTCGCCCAGACTGGAGTGCAATGGCCATTCCCGGCCACCGCAGCCTCGACCTGCTGGGCTCCGGCGATCCTTCCGCCTCAGCCTTCCAAGTAGCTGGAACTACAGGCGCGCTACCACGCCCGGCTTCATTTTTGATTTATTGTAGAGATGAGGTCTCGCCAAGTTGCCCGGGCGGGTCTCGAACCCGTGGGATCAGGCAATCCACTCACCTCAGCCTCCCAAAGGTGCGGGATTACAGGCTGAGTCACCAAGAATGTGTTTATTTCTTAAAGGTATGTACTGTCTTACACAAAAGCATGTCCCTATTTTCAAACAAAATTTTAATCCATTTTCAGAAAAACATGCCCCCAACATGGGTCAAAACTACAGCATCCTATTTCAAATGAGCTACAAGACTTTAAAAAATGATGAAAGAGCTGGGCTCTGTGGCTCAGCCTGTAATCCCGCGCTTTGGGAGGCTGAGGTAAGTGGGTCCGCGGGTTCGAGACCCGCCTAGGCACCTTGGCGAGACCTCATCTCTACAATAAATCAAAACAATTAGCCGGGCGTGGTAGCGCGTGCCTGTAGTTCCAGCTACTTGGAAGCCTGAGGCGGAAGGATCGCCAGAGCCCAGCAGGTCAAAGCTGCAGTGGCAGGAAGCAGCCACTGCACTCCAGTCTGGGTGACAAGAGTGAGACTCCAACTCAAAGAAAAAAAATAATGATGAAAGACACAAAAAAGAAACATAAGTCAGAATTAGAAAATGTAAAGAAAAGAAAAAAAATCACTCTAGAAACAAAGACTCCCCTGGGAGGAATGCAAGAGCAAATAAACACAACAAAGTCACAACCATCACCACTTCACACCCAAGAGATAGTTATTATTAAAAAAATAACAGAAAATAACCAGGGACAGCAAGGATGTGGAGGAACTGGAACCTTCACCCGGCTATCAGGAATGCAAATAGAGCAGCTGATGTGGACAGCAGCATGGCGACGCCTCAAAAATTAAACACAGAATCGCCAGGAGATCCAGCAGTATCACCTGCTGGTGTGGACTCGAAGAACCGAGATGGGAACCGGATCAGACATCTGCACCCCAATGTTCAAGCGGCGCCATCCACAACAGCCGCATGCGAAAGCGCCCCAAGCGCCGACCGACGGGGGATGGCAGGTGTGGTGTGGTCACGCATGCAGGCCGATGAAGGCAAGGGGCCCTCTGCGCACGCCACAACCCCAGTGCGCCTTGTGGACGTGCTGCTAAGCAAAACCAGCCAGCCACAAACACCCGCACGCGGCTCCACACGCATGCAACAAAGAGTGGCTCAAAGTGCAGAAGTGGGAGGCGGGATGGGGAAGGGAGATGCAGTCAGAGTGCCCAAGGAACGGAGCGGGAAGGCGGGGATGGCGGCACCGTAAGGGGAAGTGCCAGTGCCACAGAACTGTACACTTACAAAGACCCGGATGGCAAGCTTTACATGATGTCATTTTACCACAATAAAAACGGGGAGGATAGCTTGAGAAAAAGTTACAAACAGTGATGAGAGACCAAGATGTAACCAACAGGTAATCCCAGTCCCCAAAGAAGAAAGCAAGCCAGTGCCAGGGAACAGAACACTACTCGGGGCTACAATTCCAGAAAACCTTCCAGGGGAAAAAGAACCGCGTGTCAGAAACGAGCACAGTTTTTACTAGAAGAGACTGGTCAAATCGCTGGTCTTTACAGAAAATTCTTCAGCACCTAGCAAGAACAGCATAAGACTCACAAGGGAAAGTAAGTCAGATTACAGCCAGACTTTTCTACAGCAACACTTTAGGACAGAAGAAAACAGAGCGACACATTCCAGATGCTCAAGGAAAAAAAGTGAGCCACGGGATTTCTATCCAGGAAAACTGACCTTCAAATATAAAGGGCACAACGGTTTTTATTCGTGAGAATTCAGAGACCCCTTCCAGAGAAATCTACTAAGAAACACGCTCAGACAACAACACGACCAAAGGGACATCATCGCGAGGAGATGGGGTGAGCACAAAATATGGAAATGAGGGCTGAAATGAAGAATTATGGGGCCTCCTAAATCTGTCACCAAAGTCCTTGACAACCGGGACTCTCAGTGCAGAAGAAGGTCAATGCGGGCACATTACAGAAGCAGCAGCAAAAACCTTCATCCTGAATGTGATAGGGAATGCATGTGAACTCACAAGGGCCTCGCTCTGTCCTCCGAAAAGGCCTAGAACAATGGCCAATGCAGAAAACTACAAGCATCCCTGCCATCCAGACTGTGGTCTTGTCTGTTGGTCATGTCAAAAAACTGTCAAGCCCCACCGACTAAAGGTAGAACAGAGTGCGCCTCAATACGCATAAAAATCGCAGCCGGGTGCAGTGGCTCAAGCCTGTCATTCCAGCACTTTGGGAATCTAAAGTAAGGGGACTGCCTGAGTCCACGGGTTTGAGACCTCATCTCTACAATAAAAAAAAAATTCGCTAGGCGTGGTAGCACATGCCTGTAGTTCCGGCCACTTGGAAGGCTGAGGCGGAAGGATCCCCAGAGCCCAGCAGGTTGACGCTGGGGTGGCTGTGAGTGTGCCCCTGCATTCCAGCCTGGGAGATGGAATGAGGAGTGAGCCTCCAACTCAAAAATAAAAAAAAAAAATCAAAATTGCAATGGATTTGAAACCCATCAAATAAAATAAATCCATGAAATAATAACATTTTTTAAAATACTGGTCACCAACTGAGGATAAGAGAACCAATTCTTTTCTTTCTTTTTTTTTGAGTCCAGGTCTCATTCTGTTGCCCAGGCTGGAATGCAATGGCACAATCATGGCTCACCGAACCCTCAAACTCCTGGGCTCAAACAATTCTCCTGCCTCAGCCTCCAAGTAGGTGGGACAACAGGCGTATGCCACCATTCCTGGCTATCTTTTTTTTTTTAAGTTTCACCAAGGCTAGTCTCAAATTCCTGGGCTCAAGCAATCCTCCTGCCTCAGCCTCCCAAAGTGCTGGGATTACAGGCCGGCGCCACTGCTCCCGGCCATTTCATTATTTTGGAAGGTAAATAAATGAAAGGAATGAAGTGTTTTTTCAGTCTTTTCTATAAGAACTGTACTGAGACACCAAAGAGTTAGAGGGAAGTGTCTTCTTATAAAAATATTCCCAATGTTACAGCCGGGTTTGGTGGCTCAGCCTGTAATCCCGCGCCTTTGGGAGGCTGAGGTGAGTGGATTGCCTGAGCCCGCGGGTTCAAGACCCGCCTGGGCAACTTGGCGAGACCTCATCTCTACAATACATCAAAAATTAGCTGGGCGTGGTAGCGTGCACCTGTAGTTCCAGTTACTTGGAAGGCTGAGGCGGAAGGATCACCGGAGCCCAGCAGGTAGAGGCTGCGGTGGCCGGGAGCGGCCACTGCACTCCAGTCTGGGCGACAGAGTGAGACTCCAACTCAAAAAAAAAAAAAATTCCCACTTTTATAATAGATGAAATAATTGATGACTGCATCAAAATTAATAAATGAAAACAAAATGATAGAATTCACTCCATAGCCCCAAAGGACAGACACAGACATTTAGCACCAACAGCTGCCAACATCAAGAAAGCAGAATACAAACACTGTGAGCCCCCCGACGAGAGAACGAAAGCCAGCTGCAGCCAAGCCCATGGCTCAGACGGAGACCGAGCAGGCCGCGGATCTGTTAGCAGAACCAGGACCCTGCTGAAGCCGCCCAGTGTCCCCAGAGGAGAGGCAGTCGCAGACCCGCTGCAAGCAGAGGGTCCAGGCAAAGGACCCAGCCCGCGGGCCAGCGGCAAGCACACCATTCCTCTCAACAGTAGCCTCCTAGGGGCTGTTTGAGACTTCTTGTCCTAACCTGCCCTCCCTTCACGAAATGTCAATGCCACAGACACAGCGCTTATCTGTTCAAGTACTGTGGGCCTTGGGAGGATCACAAGCCGTTGTAACCTCTACAGCTTTTGCCCCTAAAGAAGCAACTTCCTTCCCCTTGCGGGTGACACTGCCCCCACCGTGCAAGCCTTAGTGTAAAGAGCAAAAGGGGGAGCACCTGGAAACCAAAGAGACTTCAGAGAAAAATCAAGTTTTAGATGTGGGCAAGTTCCAAGCTCATGCCCAGAGATGGACCCTGGGCCATGAAGGCAGGAAGATACCCAGGGACGTGATGAGGGCAAAAGTCAGGATGCGGCCAAGAAGACAGGGCAGTGACCAGCCGGCTTGGCCAGGCGTGTCGGTGGCCCTGGCGGAGTCCGGCTTCCTGATCGTGTCATGATCACAAAGCTATGTCTGCAAAGCAGCACAGTCACGAAGCTGCATAACTGTGTGTGTGGTTTTCTATGTCTATCTCACAGCCAAAAGGTTGACATTTAGTGCATCCCCTGTTCGGGAGTCTTGACAAAGTGCAGTCACTCTGCTTGGCAAAATTCCGGTGACCACAAAGTCACTGGAACCAGCACAGCTCTTGAACACACCTTGCCATTTTACGCTCCTTTCAAAAGACGCAACTCAGAGCTCATCTCTAGTGTCTTTAGATTCGCATTTTGGGCATGCTCCGGTGATCCTTCCACCTCAGCCTTCCAAGTAGCCAGAATTACAGGCATGCTCCAAGGGGGCTGAAGGGAGCGGTCTTCCATTGCTTTTGTGGGTATGTATATGAAATTAATTGACTCACAATCTAAAACCTACACGTAATTATTCTCGTGAAATTAATTACGTATTCCATCAGTGTCAAAAGCAAAATTAAAATTCTAGCCCTCATGCTTTATTTCAGGAACCCTTTTCAGAACTAAGCTTACTTTGTCAGTTTAGTCAAGGTATCACATCAATGAAACAGAGTAAAAACCTAAAAGGAGGAAAGGAAAAAAAAAACCCAGCCTGGGCAACATAGCAAGATGCTGTCTCTACAAAAAATTCTGTAAAATTAGCTGGGTATGGGAGTGCACGCCTGTAACTCCAGCCACTTGGGAGACTAAGGCGAGAGAACTCCCTGAGTCCAGGAATTCAAGGATGCAATGAGCCATGGTCACACCACTACACTCCAGACTGGGTGACAGAGTAAGACTCTGTCTCTTGAAAGAAAAAAAACCCCACTAGACATGAGTGGGTAATATTTATTTTGGCAATACAGACAAAGCTGAGTTAGCAGTTTTACAAAGTATATTATATTCCAAATGCAAAACACGTACAAGTATGAACTCTACATACAAAACCTTAAAGGGAAAACTTTTTAACCAGTCTTTAAAAAAGCTTGCCTTCCTAATTTCTTACCCTCTTTTCAGAGTGTCTTTAAATTAGGTGCTGATACTTAGGAATTCTAGATAAATGAGTATCCAAGAAAGTATTTTAAAAGCCAACAAGAAGTTAATTCCGTTTTTCATATATTTAAGTAGTAATAAAACAATGTTAAGTCACACACATACAGGGGGAAATATCAGAGCACAAATTCAAATGTTTGACTTAAGTGAATAACTTACCCAATTTAATATCTCCATCTAAGGTAAAAAGAATGTTGCCAGCCTTTAGATCTCTGTGGATGATTTTATTATCGTGTAAGTAGTTCAATGCCTCTAAAGTCTGCTTGCAAACCACTTGTATCTGGGACTCAGTTAATGGTCTCTCGAGTTCTGATAGAGAGAAAGTAAACAGATCTGCATTTTTACACTGTGAAGACATATTATCTATTAGCGGGCTATATAATTTTCTCTATATACCATCATGGTGAAAATATATAGTGAATTTTTTTTTTTTTTAATTTATTATTATTTTTTTTTTTTTTTTGAGTCAGAGTCTCACTCGGTCGCCCAGATTGGAGTGCAGGGCTCCGGTGATCCTTCCACCTCAGCCTTCCAAGTAGCCAGAATTACAGGCATGCGCTGCCACGCCCGGCTGATTGTTTGATTTATTGTAGAGATGAGGTCTAGCTGCCCAGGTGGGTCTCAAACCCGCGGGTTCAGGCAATCCACTCACCTAAGCCTCCCAAAGGTGCAGGATTATAGGCTGACTCACCGAGCCTGATTTTTTTTTTTTTTTTTTTTTTTGAGTTGGAGTCTCACTCTGTCACCCAGACTGGAGTGCAATGGCCGCTTCCGGCCACCACAGCCTCGACCTGCTGGGCTCTGGCGATCCTTCCACCTCAGCCTTCCAAGTAGCTGGAACTACAGGCGCGCGCTACCACGCCCAGCTAATTTTTGATTTATTGTAGAGATGAGGTCTCATCAAGTTGCCCAGGTGGGTCTCGAACCCGCGGGCTCACACAATACACTCACTTCGGCCTCCCAAAGTGCTGGGATTACAGGCTGAGCCACTGAGCCCAGCCGTGATTTTATTTTAGAAGAACTAAGTACCCACAAAGCTTCCTGATCTATGGTACTCAACATGTCACTTTAGAATTTTATTATAATTATTCAAGAATATAAAAAATATAAATTGGGGGGGCACATAACATCAGTAAGGGTACCCAAACTCTACCTATGTACCTAACCCTGAACTGTACCCCACATCTTTAAAATAAAAATATGTATATATAAGTTGATTTCTTAATGTACTGTCACTCAATGATCACATATGTCCAGATATAACAGTCGCACATGTTTGAAACGCTTTCATTTTGTTAAGTATGACTGAAGGAACAGACACAGAACAAAAGACTGCTCACCCAACATCACGGCATCAACTGCTCCTCCCGCACAGAATTCAATGAGGATCTGCAGGCAAGAGAAACGCGCAGGTCTAACCCAACGAGACTCGGTAGCTTTGCCGCCACCAGCAAAGGAGCGAAGTCGCTATCGAGTAATCCAAGTTATAGAAACAGTATTATTCTAAGCATGGAGATTTCCTCTGCCAAAAGAGTTGCAAATCTTAAATGACATACGTTCGAGAAGCACCAAGTAACCGTGTCATCTGTGTGCATTTGTGCTGGGACGTTGAGTGTCCCTGCCCCTCTAAAATCACCACTGAATTTTCACACAGCATGGTATTACACATCCATTTTGTCGCCACTGACTTTACTGCCCCCATTCTTAGAGTCATTACGATGACTTAAGTGATCAAATATTCATTACTTTAAACTTTATCAACAGGAAGACGCCCGAAAATATAAACTTCTTTTAGCTTAAAAAAAAAAAGAAAAAATATAAAAGCTTCAGGTCTGGCTGGGCGCAGTAGCTCAAGCCTGTAATCCCAGCACTTTGGAGGCCGAGGCAAGAGGATTGTCTGAGTCCACAGGTTCACGACCAGCCTGGGCAACATGGTGAGACCTCGTCTCTACGGTAATTAAAAAAATTAGCTGGGCGTGGTAGCACACGCCTGTGTTCTGGCTACTTGGAAGGCTGAGGCGGAAGGATCGCCAAACCCAGGGGACCGATGCTGGGGTGGCCGTGAGCATGCCGCTGCACTCGAGCCTGGGTCACAGAGTGAGAATGTGACTCAAAAAAAAAAAAAAAAGCTTCAGGTCCTAGTTCAATTATTACTTGTGCATGGACATCTACCTCAGCCTCCTTGGTAAAAAATATACTAACACCACGTACTTTCTCCTTCTTAACCTTCATCACGGTTGTCTTTTTATATTTACTATAGGTGTTTGATTAGTTAATTTTTATGTTTCCCACTAAACTGTCTCTTCATAGTTGTACAAATTCTTATTTTGCAATAATCCCAAGTAAAGATTTTATCTGCTTGCTTATTAAGTTGTCCAGAAGTTAATTTTCGTTATCATCTTCAGAAATGTTCTGTAGAGCCCCAAACAACTATTTTAGAAAACTCCAAACTAACAATAACGCTAAGTAATTTTTTAAATAACACGTTTTAACTAATTATGTGGACTTCCGCCTTTCTCCGTTGGTATCACAACACTTTATTTTCTACAGGTGGTGGTCAAGTACAAGTTGCTTTCAAATTCATCACACTGCTTGGAGAAGCATGCGGGAGGTGGAAAGTCACTCAGCCCACGGACAAGTAAATGGGCTCACCCAGGTGAACCGCCTTGTCCAACTTCCCATCTGGGTCAAAACACACAGAGCCTTGATGGCAGTCAGGCATTCCCGACACTACTTGCTTTTTTCTCAGACACTCTACTGCTCCCTTCAAGAAGGAAAACCGAGGCTCCATTTTAAAAGCGCTCTGGCACACACAGCAAGTGACTAGGCGCCGCAAAAAAACATCTGATAGTTATGTCTATTTGTGCCTAATATCTTCCTAAAGGTGAACAAAATGTAAACACATTGCCTCAGTCATTACATCATGCATTGAAGTTGAGCCTGAGATCATGCAAGATAAATATTTAACATTTCTAGTGTTTTTTTTTGTTTTTTGTTTTTTGTTTTTTTGAGTTGGAGTCTCACTCTGTCGCCCAGACTGGAGTGCAGTGGCCACTCCCGGCCATTGCAGCTTCGACCTGCTGGGCTCCAGTGATCCTTCCGCCTCAGCCTTCCCAGTAGCTGGAATTACAGGCATGCGCTACCATGCCCGGCTGATTTTTTGATTTATTGTAGAGATGAGGTGTCGCTGCCCCGGCAGGTCTCGAACCCATGGGCTCAGGCAATCCACTCACCTCAGCCTCCCAGAGGCGCAGGATTACAGGCTGAGCCACCGAACCCGGCCATTTCTAGTGTTTTACAACTTATAGTTTACATATATAAACTGTATACACAGATTATAGCTTATTGCTAATGTCTTGCAGTTTATAACAACACATAATTCACAAAAAGTTTAAGATAAAAATTACAAACAATTTCTAGGAAAACAAAGAAAACTTTTAAAAACTTTTAGAATGCTTAAATTTAAATTACAAACAAGAACATCTAATTTCTTATTGCAGAAAATTTAATATTCTTTTTATTTTTTTTTTTGAGTTGGCGTCTCACTCGGTCGCCCAGACTGGAGTGCAGCGGCCGCTCCCGGCCACCGCAGCCTCGACCTGCTGGGCTCCAGCGATCCTTCTGCCTCAGCCTTCCGAGTAGCCAGAATTACAGGCACGCGCTACCACGCCCGGCTGATTTTTTTATTTATTGTAGAGATGAGGTCTCGCTGCCCAGGCGGGTCTCGAACCCGCGGGTTCAGGCCATCCGCTCACCTCAGCCTCCCAAAGGCGCAGGATTATAGGCTGAGCCACCGAGCCCGGCTCGAAAATTTAATATTCTTAACCAAGTTTCTCCACCCGGATCCAGTGTCAAACACCCATGTTGAAACTGGTACAATCTGAAAAATAAACCTGAACATCTGCTGAAGTTGAGGGTAATTATGTTGTTATTCATCAGCAGATCAACTTTCATTCCAGTGAAATAAGTAACTGCAGAGAAGAGCTAAGCCATAAAATAGGCTTTCTCGACTCATAAACCTCTCGAGGAAGACTGTCTCACGTGGGCTACACTTACGATCAACAACACTTACCCAGAGATTGTTCTCGTAATAGAAGGCATCGAGAAGCTTGACTATATTGGGGTGATCACAGGATGCTAAGATGTCAATCTCAACCATGTAATCTTCCAGCTCTTCTTCAGATTTGGTGTCAATCACCTTTGCAGCAGCCAGAACATGGGTCTCTTTATTCTGGGCCTAAAAACGAAAGTATCAGCAATATAACACTTAAAATGCATACTTCTGAATTGATGACTTTAACAGTCTTTTAAGAGCAGTTTTAGGTTCACAGAAAAATGAGGGGCTAAGAACAGAAGGCTCCCTTACACCCTGACCTGACACAAGCACAAGCCCCGCCCACCATCAATACTCTGCACCCGCGCCACGCCTGCCACAACGGCGACCCTCCGTGGGCACATCATCATCGTACCGCCGGGCAAGGAAGGACGTTTCCACATATGTCCAAAGTCCAAAGTCCACATTAGGGTTCGTTCCTGATACTGAACATCCATGAGACTCAAAAACCTAGGACGCGTGCCCACAGTGATAGCATCACACAGAAGAACAGTCTCATGCCCTAAAAAATCTTGTGTTCCCCCTACTCACCTCTGCCTTCCCCCAAACCCTGGCAACCACTGACTTTTTTCAGATTAGAAAATATAATTAGCCGGGCTCGGTGGCTCAGCCTGTAATCCCGTGCTTTGGGAGGCCGAGGTGAGTGGACTGCATGAGCCCGTGGGCTCGAGACCCGTCTGGGCAACTTGGCGACACCTCGTCTCTACAATAAATTTTTTAAAAATTAGCCGGGCATGGTAGCGCACGCCTGTAGGTCCAGCTACTTGGAAGGCTGAGGCAGAAAGACCACCGGAGCCCAGCAGTCGAGGCTGCAGTGGCCGGGAGCAGCCACTGCATTCCAGTCTGGGTGACAGAGTGAGACTCCAACTCAAAAAAAAAAAAAGTCAATTAGGGAGAGAGAGAAGATTCACCTCCCCAAGACGGGGGAGGAGGCCAAAGCCAGGAAGCTCAACGAGCACACAGCCACACCAGAGTCCAGCAACACAGTGGCAACCACTGATCTTTTTGCACAAATGGCCAATGTGCACATGAACAGATGCTCAACATCACTAATCATTAGAGAAATACAGAGCAAAACCGTAAGTACCACCTCATACCCATTAGGAAGGCGACTATTTTCCTTTTAAATCAGAAAATAATAAGCACAGGCACAAACACGGAGAAACTGGAGCCCTTGTGCACAGCTGATGGGACCGTGAAAGGATACAGCCATGGAAAACAGTATGGCAGCTTCCTCAGAATCAGAAATAGATGACTCTACAATCCAGCAACTCCACTTATGGGTACATGCCTTCAAAAACTGAAAGCAGGGTCTCAGAGAGGGACTGGTACCCATGTTCACAGCAGCGTTATTCCCAACAGCTAGAACGTGGAAGCAGCCCAGGTGTCACTGACAGACCAAGGGATAAGCAGAATGCATGCATGTGTGCGTGTCATGGCATACAATCCAGCCTTGTATGGATGTTCCCACATATGCACCAATGTGCATGAACCCTAAGGGCATCATGATAAGAGAAGCAAGCCAACCCGAAAATGATAAACCCCGTGTGGCTTCGCCTAGATGAGGTCCTTGAGTAGCTGAAATGAGAGTCAGAAAGCAGAAGGAGCCGGGCTCGGTGGCTCAGCCTGTAATCCCGCGCCTTTGGGAGGCTGAGGTGAATGGATGGCCTGAGCCCGTGGGTTTGAGACCCGCCTGGGCAGCGAGACCTCATCTCTACAATAAATCAAAAAATCAGCCGGGCGTGGTAGCGCATGCCTGTAATTCCGGCTACTCGGAAGGCTGAGGCGGAAGGATCACCGGAGCCCAGCAGGCGAGGCTGTGGTGGCCGGGAGCGGCCACTGCACTCCAGTATGGGCGACCGAGTGAGACTCCAACTCAAAAAAAAAAAAAAGAAAGCAGAAGGATGGCTGCAAACGCTGGGGGAGAAATGGGGAGTTAGTGTTTAATGGGTAGAGAGCTTCTGCTTTACAAGACAAAAAGAGGCATGGAGATGAATGGTGGTAATGGCTGCACGACATTGTGAATGTGCTTAACACCTCCGCACTACACATTTAAAAACAGTGCCAGGCGCAGTGGCTTGTGCCTGCAATCCCAGCACCTTGGAAGGCTGAGGCAAGAGAATCACTTGAGCCCCGGAGTTCAAGACCAGCCTAGAGTAGCTGATCTTCTTGCCTCTATTTAAAAAAAAAAATGAGCCAGGCATGGTTGCACGCACCTGGAGTCCCACCTACTCTGAAGGCTGAGGCAGAAGGATCGCCTGAGCCTGAGGTTGAGGCTGCAATGAGTGGTAGTCATGCCACTGCACTCCGGCCTCAGTGACAGAGTGAGACCCTGACTCAAGTATATAAATAAATGAACAAATAAATAGTGAAGACAGTAAATTGCATGTGTATTTAACACAATAACAACAAACGGAAAAAGCTTGCAAAAATAAATTTGCACAACCATATGTTTTAAAAGTAAGCATTAATATTTGTTTATTTTGCTCTAATAATTCTTCTAGACATTTAACCCAAAATAACGCCACAGGGATATGCCATATGCATATGCACATCTGATATGTGATGTGGGCGTGGCCAAGCAGTAAGAAAAGAACAGTCTACCAGCTGGGCAACACAGTGGGATCCCACCTCTACATTTAAAAAAATGAAAAGCCGGGCTTGGTGGCTCAGCCTGTAATCCTGCGCCTTGGGAGGCCGAGGCAAGTAGACTGTCTAAGCCTACGGGTTCAAGACCAGCCCAGGCAACCTGGCGAGACCTCGTCTCTACAATAAATCAAAAATTAGCCAGGCATGGTGGCGTGCACCTATAGTTCCGCTTCTTGGAAAGTTGAGGCGCAAGGACCACCAGACCCCAGCAGGTCAACGCTGGAGGCCGTGAGCGTGCCACTGCACTCCAGCCTGGATGACAGAGTGAGTCTCCAACTCAAAAAAAAAAAAAAAGAAAAGAAATGAACAGTCTTTTCAGTAAAGGTGCTGGGAAAACTGGCTACCTACACAGAAAAAATAAAATTGGACTCTAACCACGTGCTACAAGCAGAATTCAACACCGCAAAACTAAGAGCACATAGCAGGACATCTTCACCACGTTGGGCAGGGAGGAACTTCTTGCAACAAAGGCATAGCCATGTAGAAGGAAGTGAACAGGCCTATATTAAAAGTTTAAAATGTCTATGCAGAAAAGGACAGAGAGAGAAATACAAGCCACAAAGCAAAACAAAATGTGAACATCACACACAACAGACAAAGGCAACTATCCACAATACACGGACTTCCACAAGTCAGTGAGAAAATGAGAGCCCAAAAGACGTTAACTAAGTACTTCGGAGAACAGGAACTCCAAATGGCTGATCAACACATGCAAAGGAGTTCAGCCTCATCTGGCCATCAGGGAAGTGTCACTCCACATCCCCAGGTCACAGGCCAGAAAAAAGGGCCGAGTGAAAGGCCTATCAAGGCGACTTAAAGATCCAAACCAGACAGAATGTGTCTTCTTCACCTTTGTTTACAAAATGCTGATGGAATACTGCTAAATAAACCACGTCACACTACTGTATCACTGATATGTTAAGAAACCACCACACAGACCTTCAACATTTTCAGTGGCTTTATACATTTCACACCAATGTGCCAACTAGAAATACAGCTATACTTATGCTCTGCAAGTAAAAACAAAACAAGGTATCTTGACTTCCAGGGTCTTTCCTTAAAATTGAGACACTGAAATAACAGCATACAAAGAGAAATGAAATTTATTAACTTTGCTCACACTGTCCAAGAAGGGAGGGGGAACTCAAACGCCTTCCCTTTCTAAAGAAAGCACGTGCATTAACTAATATTCCAGCACTGACGTACAGGAAGAGGCATGAGCTGGCAAACTGGAAAAGTTGGCATCTTAGAAAACAAATGATGCTCCAAGTGTACACTCAGCGGTGATGTCCTCACAGATGAAAAGCGGAAGGCTAACAAGAAACACACTTTCTTCTTAACCTTGAGACGAGATTACCCACCGAAGAGCTACTTCCGAATATGATTTACTTTCAGGGGAAAGAAAGTCATCCCTGCAATTCAGACTAGTGTCTTCCACCGACATTCCAAAAGAATCCCGGTGCTCATTTTAGCTTCAAAAGTGACAGACGCATACAATAAAGATGCAACACTGGACACAGTTACAGCAGCAGCACCTTATTACGGTTCAGCGAGACGCTGCTGGGACAAAGCAAGAGAGAGCGGCTGCTGTGGCTGAGCTAGGAAGGAGCCATGTGAACTTAAACAGGTTTACCAGAGGAACCCAGGACACAACTACCTGTCATTTATCTATACTCCAAACCAGCACAGAGACAAGTCTCAGTCCAAAACAGAAGACCGAGAAAGAAGGCTTAGCCTTCGGCCAAATAGTTTAAAAGTTGGAAATTCTGCCAGAAGACATATTATAAAATAATTCACTGAAGTTGCTAGCATTTCCAAAGTCAAATTATTTAAAATTATTCAGAAAAGATTAATCAACATAACTAGACCAGTGGAAGAAACCAGGAGTATAACTAATTAAAAAAAGAAGCAGCCCTCGTGAGAACAGAACAAAAAGAGAAACAGGAAATAAAGACTGAATGAATGTACAGACGGACAATGTGTGATAAAGACAGAGAGAACACGAGCAACTGTAGACTCCAGGTAGCCGATATGTGCACATTCACCACACGAAGCGGATACAGAGAACAAGAACCATTGTGGAATCTAGGCAGCTGATATGTGCGTGTTCACTACATAACTCCTTCAACCTTTTTATAGGACTGAATCCTTTAAAGTTTCAGTAAATGTTGGGGAAAATGAACAATAAAAGAATTCATTAAGGTTACGATGTTTCAGAACGAACATTAATTACGAGCTCTCCTACAACAGACAATAACTGCAAGACATAAGGGGAGAAATACTTTATTCAAAGTTATAAGTGAAGGATAAACTATGAAGTTAAAAATTTAAGTCAAGATAACGCAAAATTTATACAGGCAAATATTAGAACTTTGAGAGATGATAGTTTTTACTAAGGTTTGGGAACAAATAAAAGTAGTATTAGTTTAAACTGTTGTAAAACCTAGAAGTCTTTCATTTATTTTCAAGCTTAGATTTTATTTTAAAATTTTCTAATTTTTAAAAAACCTCTAGGGGTCAAGAAAAAGAACTAAATAAATGAAAAGCAATCTACACAATGGAAAAAGGACCTCAGGTCCTACAAATCATCAAGGAAAAGACAAGCAATCCTATTTTTATAACAGGAAAGAGAACAACACAGATGAGCCTTGCAAACAGCACACCCGGCCAGAGGTGCACTCAACTTAGAGGCCAATCTTCCTACCCAGCAGACATCCGGCAATGTTTGGAGGCATTTGAGGTTGTCACAACAGAGAAGGTGCTGCTGGCATCTCGCGGGCAGAGGCCAAGGATGCTGTCCAAGGAAGAGTGCCCAGGACAGCCTCTACAAAAAAGCTCCCAGTCCAAAACGGCCATCGTGCCAAGACTGAGAACTCTGTGCTACGTGCAAAAAGCCGCACATGCTAGAATATGTACCACATGTTTCCACCTGTAAGAAACTTCCAGAAAAATGCCAGGCACGGTGGCTCATGCCTGAAATTCCAGCACTTCGGGAGGTGGAGGCGACTGCCTGAGCCCAGGGGTTCAAGACCAGCCTGGGCTAGTTGGTGAGACCTCGTCTCTCCGACAAACCAAAAAAAGACAAAAGAAAGAAATTTGTAGGAAAGGAAAAACTATAGAGTCAGAAAGTTGGTTGGGCGTCTTAGGCTGAGTAGGGGAACAGGGCCTGACTGCCAGATGGGCACAAGGGAACCGTGCCCAGGGGAAAGCGGGCACTGTAAGTCGGACGTGGCGACTGGTTCCAAAACATCCATGTACTAAACTCACAAATCTGCACACTAAAAACAAGTGAATTTTGTGGTATACAAAATACACCTCAAGAAAATAATTTATTAAGTGGGCACATGACTGTGAATTCCACAAAAAGTGATATCCAAATATTGAATAAGCACATAAAAAGGCACTCAAGCTTTATTAGTCATTAGGACAACGTAAATAAAGCCATTCACACTCAATAGCATGGCTAATGTAAAACATTAAATACAGTATTAACAATGATATCAAGGGTCAGGGAGGATATGAGTAACTGGGAACACTCCCAAATCCTAGTGTAAATTGGTACAACCACTTTGGATAGGCAATATCTTCTAAAGCTGAAAATACATATAACCATGACCTAGAAAATCTATTTCCAGCACATATCGAACACAAGTTAATACACATGTGCACCAAAATGTACCAGAATATCCATGAATCTTATTCAGAATATACAAAAGGTGAAAACAACCCCAGTACTACAGAATGAACAAACCATAGTATTTCACAAAACACAGTACCACAGAACAAAGAAAAAGAGCAAAGGATCACTACACGCAACCACACGGACGAATCCCAGTTCAACGCCCAAGTCCTGTGAAATCTCAACACTTAAGAAAGAGGAAGAAGCCGGGCTCGGTGGCTCAGCCTGTAATCCCGCGCCTTTGGGAGGCTGAGGTGAGTGGATTGCCTGAGCCCGCGGGTTCGAGATCCACCTGGGCAGTGAGACTTCATCTCTACAATAAATCAAAAAATCAGCCGGGCGTGGTAGCGCATACCTGTAATTCCGGCTACTCAGAAGGCTGAGGTGGATCGCTGGAGCCCAGTAGGGCGAGGCTGCGGTGGCCAGAAGCGGCCACTGCACTCCAGTCTGGGCGACAGAGTGAGATTCCAACTCAAAAAAAAAAAAAAAAAAAGCAAGAGGAAGAGCAGCAAAGGTGTCTGAGAAATAGACAGAGGCAGAAGAAAAACCAAGAATACGGTGACCTAGAAGGCAAAAGATGACCTTGTTCAAGGAAACAGTCAAGTGATTCAAAGAGATCAAGTAGGATACCAAGTTTCCACTGAATGTGGAGACACAGACTCCTAGGACTATGGCAAGAGCTGCTAGTGGGGAGTGGGGACTGTCAAATAAGTAATTCAAGAAAATGTCACAGACCTGAAGGACATGATTCTTTGGACTGAAAGGACTAACCAAGAGCCCAGCAAAATAATGGAGGTAAAAAAAAGAATGAATCAAAGTACATCACCATGAACAGGGATAAAAAGAAAATCTGGCTGGGCTCGGTGGCTCAGTCTGTCATCCCAGCACTTTGGGAGGCCAAGGCAAGTGGATTGCCTGAGCCTGTGGGTTCAAGACTCGCCCAGACAACTTGGCGAGACCTCATCTCTACAACAAATCAAAAATTAGCTGGGCGTGGTAGCGCACACCTGTAGTACTGGCTACTTGGAAGGCTGGGACAGAAGGATCGTCGGAGCCCAGTGGGTCGACACTTGGGAGGCCGTGAGTGTGCCACTGCACTCCAGCCTAGGCAACCAAGTGAGGCTCCAACTCACAAAAAAAAAAAGATAAGAAAATCCTAAAAGCAATTAGAGAAAAGTTCACAAAAGATCCAGGAAACAAAATGGCATCAGACTTTTTTTTTTTGAGTCGGAGTCTCACTCTGTCACCCAGACTGGAGTACAGTGGCCGCTCCCAACCACCACAGTCTCGACCTGTTGGGCTCCAGTGATCCTTCTGCCTCAGCCTTCCAAGTAGCTGGAACTACAGGCGCGCGCTACCAGGCCCGGCTAATTTTTGATTTATTGTAGAGATGAGGTCTCACCAAGTTGCCCAGGCGGGTCTCGATCCCGCAGGCTCAGGCAAACCACTCACCTCAGCCTCCCAAAGACCTGGGATTACAGGCTGAGCCACAGAGCCCGGCTGGCATCAGGCTTTCAACAGCAACATCTGAAACCAAAAAAACAATGAACAGAATAAAGTCTTTAAAAATCCCAACAACTCTAAATCTTAAAAATTCTAAGAAACACTTATTCTTGAACTAGAATTCTATACATCAAGTATGACATTCTAATAAAGACAAAGACAGATAAGATCTTAAAAAATACATTTTCCATAAATTCTTTCCCAGAAGGTAACCAAAAGTTTTACACAACAAAAACAAGAAGGAAATTCTAACAAGAAACACAAAGTATTTAAGACACCCTTGAAGCAGTCTGCATTCCCAAGACTTCTAGGGGAAAAAAAACGAAGCCCATTAGACTGCTAAAAAAAACACTTGAACAGAGATAAAACATACGCATAGACGGGAAGACGTGATATCGTAGAGCAGTTAATTATTCCAAAGTTGATTTATAAATGCAACAAAAATCTCTCCAAAAAAAAAAACGCAGTAGCCGGGCTCGGTGGCTCAGCCTGTAATCCCGCGCCTTGGGGAGGCTGGGGTGAGTGGATTGCCTGAGCCCGCGGGTTCGAGACCCGCCTGGGCAGCGAGACCTCATCTCTACAATAAATCAAAAAATCAGTCGGGCATGGTAGCGCATGCCTGTAATTCCGGCTACTTGGAAGGCTGAGGCGGAAGGATCACTGGAGCCCAGCAGGTCAAGGCTGCGGTGGCCAGGAGCGGCCACTGCACTCCAGTCTTGGCGACAGAGTGAGACTCCAACTCAACAACAAAAAAAAAACCACAGTGGGCTCTCTTTATGGAACTCAACCAAGCTAACTCTAAAATGTACACAAAAGTCCTACAGGCCAAGAATATACTAGAGAAAGAACAAGGGGAACTCCTGCTCCAGTAGAAGCCTGTTTTAATGTCTTCCTAACTAAGACAGTGGAACACGGACACAGGAATAGACAAACACATCGACGGAGAGAATAGAGACTGCAGAAACAGACACATGTCGTATGGACAGACAGCACCACAGAGCAGTGGGAAAATGCTTCCCCCCCAAGGAAACAGTTCTGAGACCACTGGATATCCACATGGGGGGAAAAAACTGAACCCCTACCACCCCACTTTAAAAAATCTATCCTAGGAGGACTACAGACCCAGTTGTTAAAGAAAGGCAAAATCATAAAGCTTATCAAATACAGGAGACCATCTTCATGATCACAGGTTAGGAAAGAATGTCTTAAACACAACACAAAAGGCATTCACTGTACACACTCTACAGATAAGTCATCAACAGAAAATGAATAGGAGACCTGAACACAAAAGAAACCCAAATTACCAATAAACATGTGAAATAATTACTTACTAGTAATCTGAGAAAGGTGAATTAAAATCGCTTTGAAAAATACAACAAGCCAGGCACGGTGGCTCAGCCTGTAATCCCGCACCCTTGGGAGGCTGAGGTGAGTGGATTGCCTGAGC